CCACCATTGCTGCACTTGAACTCGCACTTCCACCCACAGTAGCCATGGAACGCTCAAGATTCGACCCATTCTCTTTCTTCTCCAAACGTCCACCTCCTATTCCTGAGTCGCCCATCACTGCCGCAGCACCGGCCTCTCCAGCAGCACTAGAAGCACCGTCAGCACTAACAGCACCAACAGCAGCACCGGCAGCATCAGAAGTACTGGCAGGGCCCGCATCATTGGCAACAGCAGCACTGGCAGTATATTGCTGCACTTCCACAACCCCCTCAACAGACTGCAGCACACACGTTGTTGCTGCTTGGGCATCAGCACTGGCAGCACCGGCAGCACCAGCAGCACCAACAGCATGGGCAACTGTAGCAGAATGTTGCTCCACTTCCACAACCCCCTCAGCGGACTGAAGCGCGCGGGTCGCTGCTGCCTGGGCGTCGGCTCGCCGAGCAGCAACAATGTCAACCTTGCGATGCTTCCTTCCAAGACCACTCAGCGGGCTCATGCCAGGGTTTATGGCAGGGCTTGCGGCAGGGCTTATGACAACAACTTTATCATCCAAACCCTCCTGAATCCTCTCTTGCACTTTATCCAAAACCTTATCCTGAACTCTCTCCTGAAAGCTCTCATGATCCCTCTCTTGAGCCTTCTCCTGCACTACTGCTACACCCATGTTTCCACTTCTCCCTTGCACTCCCTCCACCGCCCCTCCCTCTACACACTCCTTCACCTTCTTAATCTTCCTTAAACCCCGAACCTCCCTCATCGCAAGCTCCCCTGCCCCAACCCCGTCTTCAGCGCTGCAATCCCCCTCACCGCCCTCATCGCCGCGCCTCTCCCGCATCTGGACGATCTTCAGGTGCAGGTTCGAGTGCAGGTTTGGCGAGAACCCAGGGCTGTTGGCAGGGCGGTATTCGGGGCACAGGCGCCCGGACTTGAAGCGCACGCCGCACGCGTTGCACAGCGTCTTCGCGCCCAGCGGCCCCGTGCGCCACTGCGGGGTGGTGGTCGTTGAGCAGTGCGAGCACCGCCGCGACGGGAACGCGCCAGCAGCAGCAGCGGCGGGAGAAGCAGGCGCGTCAGCGGAAGCGGCGGAGGCGGCGGCGGCGGAGGGAGCAGGAGTAGCAGCAGGTGCGGAGGAGGTGGCAGCAGCGGGAAGTCTGAAAACCCTTGTCTCCATCCCTGGAGACAAGTAACCACTGGGTGAATTCCCCTGCGAAATTGGCGACGGTGCGGGCGAGACGGGGAGGCTTCGGCGCTTTGCGGGGCGAGGGGAAGGAGGGGAGAGGAGATACGCAACGAGCGGGGAAGACCACGGGCGCTTATTGTTAACCCTCTTGCTGTCCTCGCTCCTGCCTGCGCAAGCAGCACCTCCTTCAACGCGGCAATGACACTCGGCGGTCTTTATGTTGCTTTGCGAGACTGCGTGTCGACTCGCGAGATGATCGTCGACGCCGATGGCGGCACCGCCGTTACTTCGCCCGTCAATGCCGTTCGTTGCAACCGGAGTATCGTTCGCACCATTCGCTGCAGCGTTCGCAGCGGGAGACGTAACATCCGCGACGTTCGCAGCGTTCGGAGCATCCGCGACGTTTGCAACGGTCGCACCATTCGCAACGTTCCTCGGTTCGCCCATGCGATCAACCACTGGCCCCAACGTCGACTCCACCAGTTCCAAGCGATCAAACTTCAACGTCTCCGCCACTCCCCCTTCGCGCTTCACGTGAAACAGTCTGCCTTCGCTTCGCCAGCGGTCGTCCTCGCCGACGTCGCAAACGGGGCGGCCCTCCAGCGGCATCCCTCCCGCGCATCTCTCGTTCTTCGTCCCGTCATGGCCACAATCGCAACCCCCTCGAGTGCTCCCGCGCGCGCTGCGAGCTCGCTTGCCGGCGATCCCGCCGTCCGCCAGCAGGCGATCCAACGCTCTGCGCGCCGCCGAGATGTCGCGCCGAAAAACGGGGGCGTCGCGAAACTGTTGGGAGTGCTTCTGCTTCAGCGCGTGAGCGCGCTTGTACTTGTGCTTGTGCTTGTGACGCGGATGTTCGCGATGGTGGAAGGGGTAGCACTGCTGCGGCGGCGAGAGAAGGGCGGCGGGGCTGCTGAGGTTGCTGCTGCTGGCGATGCTGGCGATGCTGGCCATGCTACCAGGCAGGGATGGGAAGAGAATCGCATCCAACTCGTCGAGATCGTCACTCTGCACGCAAAGGAGGCACAAGCGGGTATAGAGCACAATAAAGTCAATAGAAGACGACGAGACGAGAGGAAGGGCTAACAAAGGGCGATAGAAGAGACAAGGGAAAAAAAAAAACACAAAAAAAAACAACAAAAAAACAAAAACAAAAACAAACAAAACCGACAGGAAGCTCAATAACAGGAACTGACGAGGTATGCGGAAAGAGGGTTTGAAATAGCACAACGAAGATAAGACAGCAAAACCCTGCCTCATCCACAAGCACTCACTGGAACGGCAAGAGGCAATTCTTCGTTTTCGTGAAAGGCACTCAGCGGCGCCAGTCCGTCCAGAAACCCCTCGCCCTCCGCCGACAAACCGCCCTCAGGCAAAAACGGCGAGAAGAGCATCGGAGACGAGGGCGTTTCGAGACCGTCTTGATTCAACGAACCGCTGAATTCCGCAGAAACGGCGGGAAGCTCGAGAGGAACCATAGGCGCGGCGACCGGCGCGACAACCTCGCGGATTTCGCCAATATCGCCAGCTTCGTCACCGGACAAAGTCAGAAGGTCGTCTTCCCATGCCTCGAGCTCCACCGTCTGAAACCAGACACCGCAGCGGGGACAATCGGGAAACCCAAGAATTAATGACGCCGCCTTATGAAAGAACATGTGGGATTGAAGCCGCACGGTGCGAGCCTGAAAACAAAAATAATTAACACAGGGCAAAGGGACGTAATACCGTAATTGCAGGGACGTACCAATTCAGACACCTCAACAAGAAGAGGCTCCGAAAACTTGCTCGGAGGTGAACCCTGGTTGTCCGTCTGTATGTTCGTGACGGACCCAAGAGCATAACTGGGACCAGCGACATCAGCCATGTCCGCTTGAGAGAGACGAGTTTTTTATTTCACAGCTTGCAAGTGATAACCTCAGGCGGCTACAGCGAAGAATATGCGCAAACGATGGACATGGACCGGCGCGCAGCAAACGGAAGCGGCGTGCAGGCAGCACCGAATGCGCGCTTCGTTGGCCGAGTTGTGGGTTTACGCTCTCCTCGTTTCGAATTCGTCAATTGTGTTGTGTGAGCTGTGTGTAAGCAGTTTTAGCTCTTGTTTGAGCCGTCACCGTCAGTCCCCCTCCCAATTCCGCTACTGTACTGCGCTTGTCTCCCCTCGTTCAGTAAACAAAAACGTTTTGCGAAGGAGCAGGGGGGAGCAGCCAACAGAAGCCGAGATTCGTTTGTGCGATCCTCCTCCCCCCCCCCCCCCCCCCCCCCCCACCAACTCTTTTTTTTCTCCTTCCCCCACCAACTTACTCCCCCCCGCATTCCCCCTCGAGTACTCTCCCTCACCAGTTCACGCCACATTCCTTGTCTTTCCGCTGCTTGCATTGGTGTGTTGTAGGAACGCCCCCCGTCAACCGCACAGATTGGACTTGGGGAACGCTGAAAGGAAGGTGGAGGTTTAGGAAAGGCGGCGGCAGAGGGGAAGGGTACACCTAGTCCGCGGTATTTTAACCGCCGCTATCTTAACCGCGCGAGGGTACTTCTCCTTGGTCAAACTTTTTTATACGAGTAGTTTTGAAATTTATTGAAGGTAGAATCTAGCATACCCTTTGTGAGGCTACGGCAGTCAAAACTTGGTCAATGCCGATCCGCCCTCTATTTCGGAGCACTAAGTGTGAGTTTCTTTATAATGAAATGTTTCTGGCTGGGAAACAATAGCCTTGAAGTCTCTGGGTGCCCATCTCATTACCCGAAAATGAACAAAGGGTGTTTGAAGCAAAACAGTTCACGTGGTTAAAATACCGCGGACTAGGTGTACAGCAGTTGTGTTGTGAGAGCGGATGCTTCAACGACCTAGATCCTGTCAGGTGTGCAGCGTGGCATCTTATGATTCGTCCGTTTAGCGCTAAGTTTCCGCCAAGCGGAAAACTGACAGAGGTTGGGCCTACCCTTTGGGAGGAGAACTTTCTCCGCGGTGAGTAACTGGCCCAAATCTCACGCAACCCCCACATGCTTCCGCAAGGCTGCGCGTCCGTACCTTGGGGACTGGCTCTGCTGGCTGGCATGGCTCTCTGATTGGTGGATTTGAGTTCCTCGCTTTCGCGTGCTCCTCAGTCTCGCCCCTTGGGAACTGTTTCTGTGTCGTTTCCGCGATGGGTGTTTCTCAGCCGCGAAGCCAACCATGCGAAAGACAGCAAGTGTATTCGCGAAGACAAGAGAACCAGATTGCGTGGTGGCGAAAGACAGCTGATCTTGGTTCGCGTGGAGTTCGAGGCCCGGAAATGCGCCTCGAGCATGTCTCACTTCCTAGAAGCCTCCACAAGAAGCCATCCACCTCATTTTCCAAGAGCGGAGATGGAGAGATCCTCAGGAGCTGCCAGCTCAGTCGATGCTGATTCGACGATCCAGCTGACGAGGTCAGCGTTCTTTCTTTTGGGGCTGATATTTATCACTCGCCCTGAAAAGCTGCCCCGCGGTTGGGAAAAGCAGATGGCCAAGACACTGAAAGTCAGGGGTGTGGCCCAGTTGTTCAAAGTAAAGCGTAAATAAACATTGATTTAGTGATACTGGCAGGATAGAATGCTGGTATGCTATAATGCGCGTGCTAAAAAGGAGAATTTCAAAAGCACATCAACTTGTCCATGCCGAAACCTCTTGGCAACAGCCTGCCGTTCTAGAATGTCATCAACGCCGGTTCTGGCTAGAGACTGCAGCAATGCACAATAGTAGCCGACGCATGTGCTTAGTAGGCGACTGCTTACCGCCTGGAAAATGTGCGGTGGAAGGCGTACAAAATGGATATATTCTGTGCCGCTTATAATCGCTTTTCATGTTCACAGCTACCAGAGTCTCCTTGATCCCGAGTGCTATCGCTCTTTCTCCGCTCACATTCGCTAATTCACTCCGCGTCTCCAGCCGCGTGTACGCCATGGCTACGGTCAGCAAGACCAAGATATACGGTCTGAAACTCTCGACATGTACGAAGAGGGTTCTTGTAGCTCTAGAAGAGAAGAATGTTACGGTACGGTACAGAATACAAAGTGATCGTTATCGTACGTCGCAACGATTTTATTTTTATTGACCTTCAACGGTCGATGTTTTGATATATCGCAGGACTATGATCTCGTGACAGTGGATGTGTTCAAGGGTGAGCACAAGTCCGCCGAGTTCAAGAAGAAGCAGGTCCGCGGTAGAACTTCCAGCCGTCAGAAGTACTATCACATGATTTAGGTTCGACGGTTTTTGTGAACTAACGCGGCCTAGTCGCTCCATTGAACCCTATTTGTTCTTCTTGCAGCCGTTCGGCGTCATTCCCGTGCTGGAGGACGAGGATGTTGAGCTTTTTGGTAAGTACAAAGCAGAGCAGGTTAAAATAGGTTGCTTTCCAGTGTTTAGTCTTCCAGCTTCGTAAATTATGCCGGTACGCTCGATCGTGACGTTTCCATGAAAATCATGTCTGCTTTTTTCGCCACAGAATCTCGAGCTATTGCACGATATATCGCGGACAAATACGCTGAACAAGGCACGAACCTCCTCGGTTCCACCCTCAAGGCATGATCCTCTCGCCATTGAGAATGTTTTTTGTTCTTCCTTCTTAGATTATCACACAGTGGTGAAACTGTCACTCGCGCAAAACTGACGCACCCTCTTTATACTTTTTACCCTGCCTTGTATGTGTGCAACAGGAGCGTGCCCTGGTAAATTTATGGTTGGAAGTGGAATCTCAAAATTACAACCCCCCTGTTTTGGGGCTTTTAGCTGAGAAGTTTTACAAGGCTAGGCGGGGACTGGCCCCAGACGAGGCCAAGGCAGCTAAATACAAGGCAAAGGTGAGCCTAAAAGGCAATCCTCTTTCCTCCCAGTTTTTTCCATTGCCACATCCTTGTTCGTGACCCTTTCCCCCTTCTTCTCCATGCACCAGACTGGCCTGCGGCCATTTTCCTGTATGTCTCTCTCGTTGATTCCCTCTCATTTTGCAGCTCTCCGAAGTCCTAGATGTGTACGAGGCACACTTGGCTGCAAACGACTACCTGGCTGGTTCCTCGTTTTCCCTGGCGGATCTGGTGCACCTGCCCTACACTGCAGTCCTCTGGGTGTGTGGTGATTCTGATGTCGTTACGTCACGGCCTAACGTGAACAAATGGTGGGAGAGAATTTCCTCTCGTCCATCATGGCAGAAAGTATTTGCCATGAAGTAGGCATGTACATTAGTTGTGTGTGTCAGATAGATTCAAATCGATAAAGGATATGAAGTGAATCTGATCAATGCTTTTGTACTGTCCCTTCAACAGGTACTTTTTGTTTTCGATAGCACCAATTCCATTCTCACACGAATTGTAGACCAACACCAGTGGAATAATCGTACACATACTGTAGGAGGAAACTCAACTTGCTCGGAATAATCTTTTCTAAATACCGAAATCAGCTTACCGGTACCGTACAAGCGAATAAACTCAACTTGCTTGGTGCAATAACAGGGCTAATTTTTTGTTTTGAGCAACCCTTATGATCAGTGCTCCACAGGGCCTCAGATTCACTTTTAGGGTCGTATACCCTTCAGGGTCCCCTTGCGTGTAAACTCTGATTGACAGTGTTCCTAAAAAAAAAAAGCCTGAAATGACAGTGTTGTGCTAAAAAAAAGACTGATTCATCAGGACTCCACTAGTAAAAAAGCTGAAACTATTATAAAGTCTTGATTTAAAATTCAGGAGTACACTAGCTTCCTAGAAAATAGCAGCTGCTCTTATCTAATAGGAGTCATGCATGTATCAGCATCGGAATCAGACTCATCATCACTCCCCTACGCCTTTGGTTCTTCCCACTCCTCAAGTGCCTCCTTTCCCCTGCCACTTCCCTCCCCCTCTCTTGCTGGAGGTGCTGCCACATTGCCAAATGGCCGACGCTTCTTGTAGCTGCGCCAGATTTTCACCAGTTCGTTGTAGTCAGGCTCGTAGTCGAGGAGCGACATCGTGACGAGATCTTCAAGCCGAGCGTCTTTGAGGCTCCCACGCTGCCACGATTTGATGATATTATGGCGGGAAAACCCGCGCTCACATTCCACTGTGCTCAGCGGCAGCATTGCGACAGCCACCCAGAGACGCACGAGGTTGGGGTAGCTAGTTGTCCAATCGCTTGTCTTCAGCATCGCTGTTAGCCCGGCATGGAAGCTTCGCTCGTTATTCGGGGCACCTGCGAGGATGGGGCAGAAGGGACGCAGTTCTTTCATCGCCCGCAGTTTGTCGATCCCTGCCACACAAAACAGAAGGGAAATTGTCAGTTAGATTGGGTGGCTTGGCATGGTATACCCGTGTATGCATGGCACTGTTGAAACATAGGAACAAAGAGAATCATGGACAACAAGGGTGCACAAAATGCGAGTACCTGGAAGGATGTGGTCAGTCTCCTGTGCCCTGAACAGCGAGACGAGTGACATGAGCCACTCGACACACTGTTTGTGGCGCTCCGCTCTCCCAGGCGGGTACTCGTCTGGCATGAAGAGCCTCACTCCCACCAGGTTTTCCAAGTCTTCAAACCTCTTGCTGAGGTTACTGACGAGCGTCTCGGCAAATGCTGTGCAGAGATCGATGCAGGCGTCGTGTGTTCCCAGAGTTGGGTAGTCCTCGCTTGGGTTCTCATGCAGTTGGAACTTGTGTGTAGTCGGCCGACCGTCAGAGGCCACACCCTGCACCGTCACCTCGGGCTTGTCACTGTCAGGCCCGTACTTCAAGATGAATGGGGATAGGCGCGCACTCAACCCGCCTCCAAAATCGTCGCCGCAGTCGACGTAGCGGGTCTCCAGGTGAGACATGGTTCTCCTGATCTGCGCATGGACATCTGTGATGTCAAGCTATGAGAGGGCGGCAGAAATAACACAGAGGGACACAAGGAAAGCGAGCCGGGGGGGTGATTTATCAAACAATATGTGTTGTGCTTAAGCTCCCACAATATAAATGCATTGACATACACGCAAAGAAGTCTCGCATACAAGAACTAGACATCATGAGAAGTGCAGCACACGCTGAAAGGACTTGCTGCTCACCTCTCACTGTTGGAAGGACTTGTTCAAGATGTTCAGCTGCTCGAGCACGTCTGCAAGGAAGAACAACAAGAAATGGAACCTATAGCTGGTGGCGAGCTGGTACAGAGTTTCGTCCCACTCAGACAGCATGACGATGAGCGCAGGGAAGACCGTCACCGTTCGCAGAACGGCATCACCCCTGGAGAGCCAGTGGACTTGATGAATGCCTTGAAGCTCCAGATTCGTAGCCGTGAAGAGTTCCTGCAGCTCCAAAAATCGTTGGTGCCAGGGGCTGGAACGGCCAAGATACTCTGCGACTTGACGGATCAGCCCGTCCACCATGTCGAACTCGGGGATTGCATCCGCTGCATCTTTTGCCGCGAGGGCCTCCCTGCAGGCACATCACAACACAAACATGCAACACGGGGTATCAGCAAGGCCGAGATACGGATAATCCGGATTGGCGCTAGTACAAAAGCAAACATACCTGTGGGCTATGCAGTGGCTTGAGACGAGATGCGGTATGCGGAGGCGCAGTCGAGCGACAAGACCATTCTTGCTTCCCATCATCACACTCGCGCCATCGGTGCTCATACCAGCGATCTTGGCAAGCTCGATGTCGAGGGCCTGCAGGTGGGACACAAACACGTAAAGTAGAGAGGCGGCGTCGCACTTCTCCACGATCAGAAGGGCAAGGAACTCGGTGACGACGCAATTCTCCCGGATGAAGGTCGCGAATATGATCATGTGCTTTCCCCGGCACCTGTCCGTGCTCTCGTCACATGTAATTCCGATGTAAGGACTTGTAAGGAGGTGCTGGAGTTGCGTTGTGTGCATCCACGTGGCAATCGCTTGTGTTAGTTGCCCAAAGCCGTACCTGTGGAGCATGTGAGCCAATGTTAGTGCTTACACAAAAGGTAAACAAAAGCAACATCACGAACAATATCTGACAGCGGGTACTCACGTTGTGTAATAGGTTCCGTATCCCTTCGCGGGGAATCCCGGAACCTTCTTCGCCGCGAGATAGCGAACAAGATTCACCCATAACTCAATTGGTGCGTCTTGTTTGGTTACGAAGAGCAGAGAGTCGCACAGCGCGATGACGCGTTCCTTCTCGGTGTCGCGAGTGAGGTTGTCACCGTTGATCCGTGGCTGCCAGCCAGCTTCAGCAAGAAGCTTTTCCTGGTGCTTGACCGCCTCTTTGTGCTTCGTTGTTGCAGCATGCCTCTTGAAAGCCTGCGTCTGTACGTCCGACGCGCCCCTCCTGCCCTTCCCGCACTTTCCAGAGTAACCTGCATGCTCGGTACAGATAGAGCACTTGAAAGCTGGGAGACCGTCAGATTGCCGCAAAAGAATGAGCCACGGAAACCTGTCTAGCCACTCGGTCTTGTACTTATACACAGACTCAGCGTAAATCGCGTCGCGTCCTGACTGCTTAGAAGGACCAGGAACCGATGGCGACTCCTGTGGGCCGGCAATCACGGGCGACGACCGTTGGTCGGCTGGCGAAGGCGGGGTAGCTCCGTCATCAGCGCCCTTTGTAAACCATGGCAGCGTTGACTCCATGTATCGGCTGGATTTCTTGGTCACGAGTTCGGGAGCCAGTTTTTCAGCTGGAGGCGGCGAGCTGTCCTGCTCAGTGACTGGCGCTGTCGGGGATGCACACCAACCCTCCTCATCGATGTGTTCGAACGGGATTTTGTCGGGCGGCTCGGGATCTGGTGGCTTCTCGTTGTCGTTGACTTCTGCTATGCTCGAAAACAATAAATCGAGGCCCGTAACTGCTTCAGAACGGACTACACGCGGCTGGCGATGCGCCTGACCGCCGTGTTTGCCGTTTGTTTCCGTGCCGTCAAGGTGTTCCGCCATGGTAAGCAGCGGGGAAGGCCTCACATCTAAGCTAGCAACAACGAGAGGGATTGTTTCCAGAAAAAAGCACAAGCCACGGCTGGCTGCCTCTTGGTGGTACACTAGGAAGAAAGGGGGAAACCCAGCTTCGGATGCAAAGCTTGGAGAAGAACGTGCATGGATGGCAACCACGGTGCACGGGGCAGGAACGTTGGCAGCCCTCCAGCACCACATGGTGGCCACTGGCCATGTTCGGATTGGCCGAGAAAAGATGCTGCAGCAAAACGGCCCAATGCTGTGTGGCGCCGCGCCAACAAAGCACCTCTCAATCGTGAATTTGAGGCAAAATTTCACAGGTTCGTCTCGCCCCGCAGTGCCTACACCACAGGAATCTGAGATTCCCTGTAATTGCAGTCAAATCCACACGACACAGGTAAGAATCGTTTTCAGTGTTAGGTTCGTTTCAACGTTGTGACATCAGTGTACTTGGAAAAAAAAAACTGAAATTTCAGTGTGGCCTCACAAAAAAGGCTGAAAGATCAGTCCCACAAAAATCGTAACACTGGTTTTTCAGGGTAGGTTGAGAATGGACTGCCAAAATCAGGAATTTCAGGGTTTTTTTCCTGATATCTGAGGACCTGGTGCTCCACCCTTCGGAAAATTCTTTTGCATCAAGGTTCAGGCTAGGTTTTGAAAAATTTACCCAGTGGCCAGGGCTTAGTTTTGGATTTTGCCTACTCATGATTAGCAGTGTAGACAATTGGCCTTGGAGGCTCTGATACCATGTTGGGCTGAGAAAAGCCCTTAGGATCTTTTCAAGGCGAAGACTTTGAGTAGAGATGTTGTAATTGCGAAAGCGTATAGTAAACTTGTTGAACCACCTTGCACTAGTGTGTGAGAGCAAGATGAATTGATTAAAGCAAAGAGATACAAGGATATATATATGATTACAAGAAATACGAAGAGGCGCAACTAACTGTTTTGTTCTTGCGGTTCGATACAGTGACGACTCGGGCAACTGCTCAATACCGAGTCAGTTGTTTGTCCTTGCTGTCGTGCTGTATTTCGTCGAGTCAAAGGTCGCTGACCTTTGACCTTCGCGTAACCTCCAGCTGTTACGTTTTGTTAACCTCTTTGGTTGACTCACTTGTTGCTTCACTTAAGTCTGCTTCGTTCGTGTTATTACTTCGATACTTTCCAACTATGTGTTTCCAACAGGATTTTCAAAAACAAGAAAAACACTGACGGATCAGGGTTTGAAGAAGGTGTCACACTGATAATCAGGTTTTTGAACAGGTGCGACACTGATCACAAGTGTTGCTCAAAACCAAAAATTAGCCCTAGTTTACCCTGCTCTAAATGCCTTATTTGTTATTGATAATGTATTCTTTATATTGCATAAAGAGCTTGATGAATAATTTTGTCATCTCTTCCAGTTTGCTCTTTCTGAAGGTGCACTACACAGTTACAGATTGCATAATACCAATTTTACGTTTGGTATGTCCACAATCTACTGTATTACCCCGGATATTAGCGCATATGCGCTTATAATAAAATCAGTTTTTCTAAGAGGGGTGCTTGTAATTGAATATCGGCCACAAGCGCCGGCGCTTATATAACGACAAATACAGAAATACAACTTAAACGCACCAAATTGAGAAAGCTTGCTTTCTTATTCTTATCAATTGGCATCGTTCTCATTACAAATGGGCTGTTTACAATATTTGCATCACAATTGAACACAAGCAAGTGCATGCTCATATCACTAGCTACGATATACCCTATCCAAGTAGCATGCGCAAAACGATTTACGCTGGGGTGGGTGGTGGGAAGGTTGAGTGAGCCGTTTGAAAATAGAGAAACGTGGGTAGAGGAAATGAGCTCCAACCCACAGTTTTTGTAGTTGGAGAAGGGCGTTTAGCGCGCTTCGACGATGCAAATTGTGCAATACAAGCAGCTTCGCTTTCACAATTCACAATTTTGAAAAACACTATGTGTGTTTAAAAATTATAATATTGAGAAAGCTTGCTTTCTTATTCTTATCAA